GAAAGCAAGCTCGTACTGCCTGTCCTCTAGGACGTCATTGCCAAGGGCAGGAGCACCCCTGACGGACGGAGGACGGGCAAGGTCAGAGACCAGAGCGGTAGCGTAGTCCAGGCGGGGCGGGTGGAGGCGAAGTCAGCGACAGCAGCGACAAGCGCGTCAAGGCGCGAGACAGGAACCGAAGGGTCGGTAACAAGGGAGGCAAGAACTCGAGGGACAAGAGGACGAGCGGCACGAAGGTAGTCCGAGAACGGAGGAGGCGCAACAGCAAGCGACGAGGGAGGAGGGGAGGGAAGGAGGGGAGGACGAGACGAGTGGGAACGGAGCAACATAGGGTGAGAGCGCAGGACAGGAGAGGCGGGACGAGCACGTGAGGGACGGCGAGACCAAACGTGGGACGGAGGGGTAGGGTCAGGAGACTGCGGAGGGGACACAACAGGAGAACGAGGAGGAAGACGGGCCGGAGACGAGTCCGGCGGCGGGAACACAGGACCGTAGACCGGAAGGTCAGTAGACGGCGGGGGAGACACCGGCGAGTGGTCCGGAGAGGGAAGGCCGAGCAGGCGGAGAGCAGAGACCGGCGACGACGGTTGCTGCAGCCGCTGCGACGGCTGGGCCGGAACCCTCGGACCGGCAGAGGCAGGACGACCATCGGTGGAACCCTCAACAGCAGCACCCCCAGAACCAACACCCCCAGAGCGAGAACCCTCTCCAACACCAGCGGCACCCCCAGAGGCCAAGAGGGGCGGCGACGACTGCGGCGGCGGCGGCAGCGGCGGCGGTGACGGCGGCAGCTGCGGCGGAGGCGGCGACTGTGACAGGGGAGGCGAGGACACCGGGGAAGGGGGACGCGGCAAGGACGGGCCGGGGGTACCACCAGAGTTTGCGGACTCCTCAACGGGGACAACCGACGGAAGGGGAGTGAGGTGAGAGACACTAGACGGGGCAGGACGAGGCGGGAGGTGAGCAGGGGCTACCGGGGGAGAGGGAGCAAGGAACAGGGGCGGGGCAACCGGGAGACCTCGGTGAGGGAAGCGGCGGTAGAAGGAGACAGACTCGTCAAAGGTGACGTCACGAGAGTGGAGGAAGCGGTGAGACGGCGGGTGGTAGAAAAGCCAGTCAGACGAGTCTAGGGGGAAACCGAGGAAGACAGAGGGGACAGTGCAGGCAGTGAGCTTGTCCGTACCAGAGGCACGAACGTGAGCAAGGCAGCCCCAGACGTGGAACGCAGACGCGTCACCAGGGGACCCGGTCCAAATGAGGGTCGGCGAAACCTGCGGCTGCTGGGAGCGGGGCCACAGGTTAAGCTGGTGAGCAGCGTAGCGAACAGCGAACGGCCACAAAAAATGGGGAGCATCGGCATGAATCATGGAGGTATGGGCGACCTCCATGACCAAGCCGATGCGGCGCTCAGCAACCCCATTCTGCTGTGGCGAGTCCGGCAAGGTGTACGACTGGGTGATGCCCTCCGCACGACAGAACTGTCCAAGCCGACCAGAGGCGAACTCGCCGCCACGGTCAGAGTGGAGACACAACACGTGGAGACCGCGGTGAAGACGTGCAGCCACAATCCACGGGAGAAGAACGTCGGGCAGGTCGACCTTCCGCTCCCGGGGAAACACCGTGGTGTAGCGCGTGTAGTCGTCGACGAGCACAAGGAAGTAGCGCTCACCGCGCGGTCCGGGGACGGGGGCTGGGCCCCAAACGTCCAGGTGCAGGGTCTGAAGGGGGGCAGTAGCCGGGCGCAGCGAGGAGGAGTGAGGAGCACGGCGGAGCCAGCCCTCGACGCAAGGCGTGCACGGTGGCGCAGTCGAGGGAGGAAGGGCGGGGAGCGACGCACAGAGACCTAAGACAAGGCCGTGCTGGGACATGTGACGCAGACGAGGGAGAGCAGGGTGACCTAAGCGGTGGTGCCAGAGAAGGGATGGGTGAGTGAGGGAACGACACGAGCAAGCTGCAGCAACCTGGGAGGACGCACCAACCGGGGGGGAAGCGGTGTCGAGGGTGAACAGACCGGACACCGGGTCCCGGGGGAACGTCGCAAGGAGGGAACCTGACACAGCCTCAGAACAGACAGCGAACCGCTCGTGGCCGGGGAACGTGGTGGTGACGCCGAGGTCCTGGAGACAGCCGACACCAACCAGGTTCCTCGAGAACGAGGGAACGTGGAGGCCTGTAAGGGAGCCCGAGGGAACTGCTGGACAGGGAAGGGACGTAGAACTGCGAGCGACGACAGGACCCGCAGAGGGGTCAGCAAGAGAGACGACAGCAGGCGTAGCAAACGGCGTGAGCGCGGAACGGTCGCGGAAGAAGCAGGCAGAAGCACCGGAGTCGAGAGTGAAGGACAGCGCAGCAGTGGCGGGGGCCGGGAACGTAGCCGGTGCAGAGACGAGGCTAGACAAAGAAGGCAGTCCTACGCCTGACGCAGCAGGGGAGGCTAAGCTACACAACGGTGCAACACCTAAACTAGAGAACACAGGGTAATAAGATCCAGCAACACTAGCAGCGTCAGAATACAAGGCATGCAAAGCAGCACCTATCTGATCCATGTCTAACTCAAAGATCGGCATGCCCTGGCGGAGCAGGCTGTGCCAGTCGGGGAGGTCCGGGGCCGGGCCAAAGCGACGATGAAACAGATCGTCGAGGCGGCGGAAACAGCGGGCAGTCGGGTGCGGGCGGCGGCACAGAGTGCCGCGAAGGGGCCCGGTCTAAAGCTGGTACTGGCAGGTCACAGCACCGGAGCCGCTGGTAGACGCCAAGTTGCGCGGGCCGCCACCACGGCCACCACCTCCAGAGGTGCCGGGCCAACCAGGCGGGAGGCGAGCCCACTGCTGCGGGGGCTGCGGCTGGGACGGCGGCTGCTGCTGGGACGGCGGCTGCGGCGTGGGCTGCTCCTGCTGCGGCTGGGGCTGCTGCTCCTGACCACCAATGCTAGTCCCCCCAGGCGGACTACTGTCACAACCACCACCACCACTACCTGCGCCACCACCCCTACCACCCTGGCGACCACGGCCACTACGGCGCGAGCGCTGCTGCGGGTGGACCGCAGCAGCCGTCTCGGTGAGGGAGGGCGCCGTGGCGACCGCAGCCGAAACGACAGTGAACGTGCACTGGGAGGGGGCACAGCCGTGAAAGATAGAGACTGCCGGCGCACCGCTCGACTGAGCGATAGTGCGCTGGCGAGTCTCAATCTCGGTGAGGGTGTCGTCAAAGGCAGTGAGGGTGAGGTCAGCTGGGTGCAGACTAAGGAAGTGATCGCGAGCACTAGCGAGGCGGTCTGGCAGGCGCATGGCGATAAAATAGAGCGTCATGCAGAAAGGGGGGGGGGAGCGCAGTGAGCTGGGCAGCAGTGCTGGCAGTGTGATAGCGGGTCTCTAGGGCAGGAAGGTGAGCGGCAAAGTCTGCGAGAGTAGGGAAGGTTGCAAGGTCTGGGAACAGCATCGGGAAGAGCAAGCGGCCAACAGAAGCAGACGCGGGTGTGGAATAGCGAGCAATAACGGCGTCGAAGTAGGCTTTGGCCGTCTCAACAGTAGCAAAATGCGAGCGCTCAGACACAGGGAGGGCGTGGCTAATAGCAACCTGAGCGACTGCATCGCGGGAGTCCCAGACAGCGCAGGCAAGTGCAGCAGTAGAGAAGGCCTCACCGTCATCAGAGGAGGAGTCAACAGGGGGGGGAGCAGGTGCTGGGGGGCGGGGGAGCAAACCGTCGACATGGACAACCAAAGAGTGGCCATCCTGGCGCTGACCTGTAACGTGGCGGCGAAGGTCAGAGAGCCAGGCGGCGAAGTCAACCGCGTGACCCTCGGCGTCCAGTCGGAGTACGAAATCAGCCATCATGCAGGGTCAGCGGCACAGCTCCACTGCGCCACAGGAACACAGCTCCGCAGGAACACAACGACAGCGCCCTCCAGCACGGTAGCCACAAAGGCGCCCCAGCACGGGCGAGCAGGCACGAAGAGGGGCCGGACGGTCAGTCAGGGCGGCCAGGCAGGCACGGCGGGGCCAGGCAGGGGCGGCGGGGCCAGGAGGCGCGGCAGGGCCAGGCAGGCGCGGCGGGGCCAGGCAGCGCGACAGGGCCAGGCAGGCGCGGCGGGGCCAGGCAGGCGCGGCGGGGCCAGGCAGGCGCGACGAGGCTAGGAGGTGCGGCAGGGCCATTCAGGCGCGGAGGGGCCAGGCAGGTGCGGCGGGGCCGAGCAAGCGCGGCGAGGCCAGATAGGCGCGGCGGGGCCAGGCAGGCGCGACGGGTGCTAGGAGGCACGAGGGGCCCAGGAGGGGCGCGACGGGCTAGGAGGCGCGACAGGGGCCCAGGAGGGGCGCGACGGGCTAGGAGGCACACGTGGCCCAGGAGAGGCGCGACGGGGCCTAGGAGGCACGAGAGGCCCAGGAGGGGCACGACGGGCTAGGAGGCGCGGCAGGGGCCCAGGAGGGGCGCGACGGGCTAGGAGGCGCGACAGGGGCCCAGGAGGGGCGCAACAGGTTAGGAGGCGCGACGGGGGCCCAGGAGGGGCGCGACGTGCTAGGAGGCGCGACAGGGGCCCAGGAGGGGCGCAACGGGGCCTAGAAGGCACGAGGGGCCCAGGAGGGGCGCGACGAGCTGGGAGGCGCGACCGGGGCCCAGGAGGGGCGCGACAGGCTAGGAGGCGCGACTGGGGGCCCAGGAGGGGCGCGACGGGGCCTAGGTGGGGGCGCGACGGGGCCTAGGTGGGGACGCCACGGGGCCTAGGAGGCACTGGCGGAAGCGGTAGGTGGGGGGGGTTGAACCTACGGGTGATACCATGTCGAGAAGAAAACTGAACAAGTGTTGAATAGAGAGAGAGAACAAGGGTATATACCTAAGAGTGTTGTACCCTCTAAGAGGTGACCCTGTACAGTCTGTACAAATATGAGTTATACATATGTTTGACAGCCCCCACTGCCTACTGCCCTTGCTGCTGAAAGACCCCGGTTTTAGATAAGGGTTGTGCCGTGTCTTTCTGCGGATTCTAGGATAGACCAACACTGAAATAGGGTGCGTTGGTGCATTGTAGTGTACCGAGGTGTACATAATGTCATCAAACTGACTTAGGAAAGGCAAATTCAGTTGATCTTGATACTGGAGGATGGGGAGCTACATCTAGTACTAGCACACCTCAACAGACCTCGGGTCTGAAGCGAGCACTGTCAACTCCACACTTGCTGCTTGCACACTGTCAACTCCACAATTGCTGCTTGCACACTGTCAACTCCACACTTGCTGCTTGCACACCCCGCACATCCACAGACTCGCCGTGGTCACTGGTCACCTTCTATGCTGTGACTGGTCACCTTCTATGCTGTGACTGGTCACCCCCGTGCTGCCATGCACCTGTTGGGCCACGTTGTTAGAGATGTCAGTCATGAGGGCATCGTGGCCCCCTAACACATGCGCCACGCCCACATCACATTGTGCCATCCTCACACCCCTCGCCCCGCACTCAGATCACGTGTTGCGCCAGCGTGAGCAGCTTCAGCATCTTCCGACCCCGCAGCTCGTGCGGCACGGGCCCAAACACGCGCGTGCCCACCGGCTCGCCCGCCTTGCTGATCACCACCGCTGCCGGCCCGTCAAACCGCACCTCCGTGCCGTCCGCGCGCTTGTGGTGTGTGGCGGCGCGCACCACCACGCACGTGACCACCTCGCCCTTGCGCACCTTGCCTCTGGGCTCCGCGTCCTTGACAGACGCGATGATGAGGTCGCCCAGACCCGCGGCGTTGGGGCCGCGGCCGCGCAGCACCTTGATGCACTGCACGCGGCGCGCGCCCGAGTTGTCGGCCACCTGCAGGTTGGTGCGCAGTTGGATAAAGGCGCGAGAGGGCGTGAGGGGGAGGAGGGGCGCGGGGGTGGAGGCTGGGGGAGACGAGGGGGAGATTGTGGAGGGGAAGGTTCGGGCGAAGAGGGAGGAGGGAGCAGAAGGGGAGGAGGCAGAGGTGGTGGGGAAGGGGGTGGTGGAGATGCGCGTGGCGTGGGAGGTGGGCGCGGGAGAGGGGTGGATGGGTGCGGTGGGCGATGGGTGCGCGGGGGGGAGCAGCCTCACTGCGGCGGCAGTCCTGGAAGGGGGGATGGCGTGGAGCAGGGCACACGACAGGAGAGAAGGCAGGGGAGGTGGGGCATGGAGAGAAGGCAGGGGAGGTGGGGCATGGAGAGAAGGCAGGGGAGGTGGGGCATGCAGAGAAGGCAGGGGAGGTGGGGCATGGAGAGAAGGCAGGGGAGGTAGGGCATGGAGAGAAGGCAGGGGAGGTGGGGCATGGAGAGAAGGCAGGGGAGGTGGGGCATGGAGAGAAGGCAGGAGAGGTGGGGCATGGAGAGAAGGCAGGGGAGGTGAGGCATGGAGAGAAGGCACGGGAGGTGGGGCATGGAGAGAAGGCAGGAGAGGTGCGGCATGGAGAGAAGGCAGGGGAGGTGGGGCATGGAGAGAAGGCAGGGGAGGTGGGGCATGGAGAGAAGGCAGGGGAGGTGGGGCATGGAGAGAAGGCAGGAGAGGTGGGGCATGGAGAGAAGGCAGGGGAGGTGGGGCATGCAGAGAAGGCAGGGGAGGTGGGGCATGGAGAGAAGGCAGGGGAGGTAGGGCATGGAGAGAAGGCAGGGGAGGTGGGGCATGGAGAGAAGGCAGGGGAGGTGGGGCATGGAGAGAAGGCAGGAGAGGTGGGGCATGGAGAGAAGGCAGGGGAGGTGAGGCATGGAGAGAAGGCACGGGAGGTGGGGCATGGAGAGAAGGCAGGAGAGGTGCGGCATGGAGAGAAGGCAGGGGAGGTGGGGCATGGAGAGAAGGCAGGGGAGGTGGGGCATGGAGAGAAGGCAGGGGAGGTGGGGCATGGAGAGAAGGCAGGAGAGGTGGGGCATGGAGAGAAGGCAGGGAGGTGGGCATGGAGAGAAGGCACGGGAGGTGGGGCATGGAGAGAAGGCAGGGGAGGTGGGGCATGGAGAGAAGGCAGGGGAGGTGGGGCATGGAGAGAAGGCACGGGAGGTGGGGCATGGAGAGAAGGCACGGGAGGTGGGGCATGGAGAGAAGGCAGGGGAGGTGGGGCATGGAGAGAAGGCACGGGAGGGGGGCATGGAGAGAGGCAGGGGAGGTGGGGCATGGAGAGAAGGCAGGGGAGGTGGGGCATGGAGAGAAGGCAGGGGAGGTGGGGCATGGAGAGAAGGCAGGGAGGTGGGGCATGGAGAGAAGGCAGGGGAGGTGGGGCATGGAGAGAAGGCAGGGGAGGTGGGGCATGGAGAGAAGGCAGGGGAGGTGGGGCATGGAGAGAAGGCAGGAGAGGTGGGGCATGGAGAGAAGGCAGGGGAGGTGGGGCATGGAAAGAAGGCAGGAGAGGTGGGGCATGGAGAGAAGGCAGGGGAGGTGGGGCATGGAGAGAAGGCAGGGGAGGTGGGGCATGGAGAGAAGGCAGGGGAGGTGGGCATGGAGAGAAGGCAGGGGAGGTGGGGCATGGAGAGAAGGCAGGGGAGGTGGGGCATGGAGAGAAGGCAGGAGAGGTGGGGCATGGAGAGAAGGCAGGGGAGGTGGGGCATGGAGAGAAGGCACGGGAGGTGGGGCATGGAGAGAAGGCAGGGGAGGTGGGGCACGGAGAGAAGGCAGGGGAGGTGGGGCATGGAGAGAAGGCAGGGGAGGTGGGGCATGGAGAGAAGGCAGGGGAGGTGGGGCATGGAGAGAAGGCACGGGAGGTGGGGCATGGAGAGAAGGCAGGGGAGGTGGGGCATGGAGAGAAGGCACGGGAGGTGGGGCATGGAGAGAAGGCAGGGGAGGTGGGGCATGGAGAGAAGGCAGGAGAGGTGGGGCATGGAGAGAAGGCAGGGGAGGTGGGGCATGGAGAGAAGGCAGGGGAGGTGGGGCATGGAGAGAAGGCAGGGGAGGTGGGGCATGGAGAGAAGGCAGGGAGGTGGGGCATGGAGAGAAGGCAGGGAGGTGGGGCATGGAGAGAAGGCAGGGGAGGTGGGGCATGGAGAGAAGGCAGGGGAGGTGGGGCATGGAGAGAAGGCAGGGGAGGTGGGGCATGGAGAGAAGGCAGGAGAGGTGGGGCATGGAGAGAAGGCAGGGGAGGTGGGGCATGGAGAGAAGGCAGGAGAGGTGGGGCATGGAGAGAAGGCAGGGGAGGTGGGGCATGGAGAGAAGGCAGGAGAGGTGGGGCATGGAGAGAAGGCAGGGGAGGTGGGGCATGGAGAGAAGGCACGGGAGGTGGGGCATGGAGAGAAGGCAGGGGAGGTGGGGCATGGAGAGAAGGCAGGAGAGGTGGGGCATGGAGAGAAGGCAGGGGAGGTGGGGCATGGAGAGAAGGCAGGGGAGGTGGGGCATGGGAGAGAAGGCAGGGGAGGTGGGGCATGGAGAGAAGGCACGGGAGGTGGGGCATGGAGAGAAGGCAGGGGAGGTGGGGCATGGAGAGAAGGCAGGGGAGGTGGGGCATGGAGAGAAGGCAGGGGAGGTGGGGCATGGAGAGAAGGCAGGGGAGGTGGGGCATGGAGAGAAGGCAGGGGAGGTGGGGCATGGAGAGAAGGCAGGGGAGGTGGGGCATGGAGAGAAGGCAGGGGAGGTGGGGCATGGAGAGAAGGCAGGAGAGGTGGGGCATGGAGAGAAGGCAGGGGAGGTGGGGCATGGAGAGAAGGCAGGGGAGGTGGGGCATGGAGAGAAGGCAGGGAGGTGGGGCATGGAGAGAAGGCAGGAGAGGTGGGGCATGGAGAGAAGGCAGGGGAGGTGGGGCATGGAGAGAAGGCAGGGGAGGTGGGGCATGGAGAGAAGGCAGGGGAGGTGGGGCATGGAGAGAAGGCAGGGGAGGTGGGGCATGGAGAGAAGGCAGGGGAGGTGGGGCATGGAGAGAAGGCAGGGGAGGTGGGGCATGGAGAGAAGGCAGGGGAGGTGGGGCATGGAGAGAAGGCACGGGAGGTGGGGCATGGAGAGAAGGCACGGGAGGTGGGGCATGGAGAGAAGGCAGGGGAGGTGGGGCATGGAGAGAAGGCAGGGGAGGTGGGGCATGGAGAGAAGGTACATGGGAATCAGATTAAGGCGGAAAGGAGGGTGGGGTTGAGAGAGTGGGAGAGAGCGAGGGGAAGAGAAGGGGGGGGTGGGGGAGGGGGAGGGTTGGGGAGAAAGGAAGGGAGAGAGAAATCTAAAAAAAGACCAGGAGAGACAGAGAGGAGAGGGATGGGGAAAGGGAGGGGGGTTGGAGGACGACGGCAACTCAGCGCGGCGGAAGTAAGGCGGCGGGGAGGGAGGAGCGCGAGAGCATTTAAAGCCCGTGTCGAGCGGCGACGCTGAGAACTTGGCAGTGACGGCTGTGGAAAGATGTGAGCCAAGGCGCCTGGCCGATGATCGACCTGGATCCCAGCGGGTCGCATCGCGCGTCAGGCACAGCGCACAGTTGACGCCAACAGCTAGGTACACGCTGGATGCTAAGGCAGACGGTGGACGGTCTCAGTAGCGGGTTGACGCTACACGGCGGCACACGCACCAGCGGGCGACGGCGGAACGGGCGGCGGCGACCCCATTAGAGGAGCGGCGCGCTGTGAGCCCCGCGAGCATGGCGACGGCGAGGCGGAGAGTCGCGCGGGTAGATGGGGAGGCGATGTGCGTCGGGGTGAGGTGGTGGCGTGCCGCTGGTGTGCTGTTTACGACGCAGACGACACGGGCAGCAAGAGTGCGATCAGTAGGGGAGGGCTCGGCTCGGAGTGATCAAGCCACTTGCCAATTGTTGCGAGCCGACTTTAGGGCGTGTCCAGAGTGCAAATCCGACATCCAACGACATCCGTCGGACGTCAAGGCCGACATCCGTGGATGTCGAGACTGCGCTTTCAGTACTCTGGTCTGGGGGCCGTTCGCTGGCCAATCTTTCACCGGCACGGCGAGGGAAATCAGGCATGGGGAACATCGATCGAGGCTTCGTGGGTTCGCCGAACCCTATTTGCGAAACGTGACGTCATCATGCGAAAACGTCGCGTCGGTTCGGTTTCCCCAAACCAATTGCCCCCAAATCGCGTGCTCCTTCTCATGCCAAACCCGAAGCGCGGCCATTAGCCGCCCAGAGCTGCCAGGCAAACTCCGTGCCACACCTCATACTGCAAAATCGTGGTATGAGGCAGGCCAAGATTGGCATGCCTCTTGGCTGGGCAGGTTTACGAAACCCAAAAAAAAACCGCAGCCACTTCCCCTTCAATCCTACCCGTCAATTTGCGCAATTGATCCAGCTCATACCCATCCAATCGGTCACATTTTGAAATGTTAAAAAAATGGGCAGTTTTGACAAAATTGTGTGAATCGCATTTTCTCCGCTAGATTTTCCACGAAAGTGCGATGAACTAAGAGGGCTTTTGATGGGCCCTACTCTTCACTGTCCGCGAGTTTGTCTTATCCAGTCCTGCAGTCGTGACTGACGTAATCATGAGTCGGCGACGTTATGATTACCAAAGTACGTGGGCACACAAAAAAAATTACGTAGGTTTGGCTCCGCAGATTCCATGCGCGCGGGATTTGGTCGCCCGTTCCCCTCCCCGTTCCCCTCGGAAAATTTCCAGCGAACGGCCCCCTGGACACCCCACGCTCAACGAAAGTGCCCGGACATTTCGTGATCACTGTGACTCCTAGGGGCCATTCGCTGGCCAAATTTTCACCGGCACGGCAAGGGAAATCAGACATGCGGAACATCGATCGAGGCTTCGTGGGTTCGCCGAACTTAATTTTCGAACCATGACGTCAGCATGCGACATCGTCGCGTCGGTTCGGTTTCCCAAACCAACAGTCCCCAAATCGCGTGCCCTTCTAATGCCAAACCCGAAGCGCGGCCATTAGCCGCCCAGAGCTGCCAGGCAAACATCAACGTCACTCCGTGCCACACCTGATACTGCAAAAACGTGGTACGAGGCAGGCCAAGGGGGGGGTTCGCCGGAACGGGGAGGGGAACGGGCGACCAAATCCTGCGCGCATGGAATCTGCGCAGCTAAAGCTACGTAATTTTTTTTTTGTGCCCCCATACTTTGGTAATCATAACGTCGCCGGCTCATGATTACGTCGGTCACGACTGCAGGACTGGATAGGACAAACTCGCGGACAGTGAAGAGTGGGGCTCATCAAAAGCCCTCTTAGCTCATCGCACTTTCGTGGAAAATCTAGCGGAGAAAATGCGATTCACACAATTTTGTCAAAACTGCCCACTTTTTAATATTTCAAAATGTGACCGATTGGATGGGTATGAGCTGGCGCAATTGCGCAAATCGACGGGTAGGATTGAAGGGGAAGTGGTTGCGGTTTTTTTTTGGTTTCGTAAACCTGCCCAGCCAAGAGGCATGCCAATCTTGGCCTGCCTCATACCACGATTTTGCAGTATGAGGTGTGGCAAGTAGTTTGCCTGGCAGCTCTGGGTGGCTGATGGCCGCGCTTCGGGTTTGGCATGAGAAGGAGCACGCGATTTGGGGGCAATTGGTTTGGGGAAACCGAACCGACGCGACGTTTTCGCATGCAGACGACACGTTTCGCAAATAGGGTTCGGCGAACACACGAAGCCTCGATCGATGTTCCCCATGCCTGACTTCCCTCGCCGTGCCGGTGAAAAATTGGCCAGCGAACGGCCCAAGATTGGCATGCCTCTTGGCTGGGCAGGTTTACGAAACCAAAAAAAAAAACCTGCAGCTCACGCTTGTCCCTCACAGGCACTTCCCCTCCAACCCAACCCCGTCAATCTGCACAATTGCGCCAGCCTGTACCCAGCCAACCGGCCACATTTTGAAATGTTAAATAAAGGGTAGTTTTGACAAAATTATGTGAAACGCATTTTCTCCACAAATTTTCGACGAAAGTGCGGTGGGCTAAGAAGGCTTTTGATGGGCCCCACTCTTCACTGTCCGCGAGTTTGTCTTATCCAGGCGAGCAGTCGTGACCAACGTAATCATGAGCCGACGACGTTATGATTACCAAAGTACTGGGGCAGACAAAGAAAATTTACGTAAGTTTGGATGCGCAAATTCTATGCGCGCAGGATTTGGTCGCCCGTTCCCCTTCCCATTCCCCTCGGCAAACTGCCAGCGAACGCCCCCCTAGACGGGCATCTCCGGTTTCAAAATTAGCAAATCGGATTTTGACATGTAACAAGTGTTGTGAAATTCGCCCCATCAAATTGTCCGTTAAATTTTTGCATGCGCTGCACGACGGACTTTCCGTTTTCGCTTGTTTTTTGCATGTAGGCCGTAAGATTTTTTTGCGGACGGGACTTTTCCCTCCAAAAGATTCAGTTTCCGTACCCGCCGTTACTGTCCGTGTTAAATTATATATATTTTATATATAATTGTAGGCTGGGTTGTGCTACTTACTCAATCCTACTGTAGAGGGGACTAACCCCCTTCTTGTATCTCCTTCTCTTCTAGTCCAACTCTCTTCTCTCGTAACTTTTCCTAGCACCTAAAACCCCACGTCATTTCTATGGCTCCTTTCTCAGAGTAAAAAGTTGACTAGAAGGAGGCATACATGTTGGTTTTGTTCAAGTGCTTGTACTCTCTAAGAGCATGCACCTATGTAGCATATTATAATATATATAAATAAGTTTGACACACCCCCTTAGGCCAGATGAGGGGCACTGCCTGGAAGCCGACACGCAGCCCAGGGTGGCACTACTAGTCCAGCCTTTGAGGCAAGGGTCTGAAGACCAGTCAGCAAGAGTACAAACAAGACAAGAGCAAACCAGGGCGGCACTACTAGTCCGACCACTTGAAGAGAAGCCACAAGGCCAGTCAAAAAGGTATATATGAAAAGTACACAATCAAGGTCCTAGAAAGTGAGTAGCTACAAGAACTAGACCAAGCTACAAACAGTGCCGCTCATAAACTTTAAGCGAAGCGCCTTAGTAAAGATATGAGCTGTGTTGGCACCGCAAGTGTACCACGCGGGCCTGGCGATGCTGCTGTAGCTCACGCAGGAGGAAGTACCACAGCTGGATGTGCTTCGCGCTACCCTCCAGTCGAGGCTCCTGACACAGGAGGATCATGGCCCTGTTGTCAGAGTACAGCAAGAAAGTCAGCCAGCAGAGCTCCTATGCCGCCATGGCACCAGCATAGATCTCAGCCTCGCAGCTGGACTGGGAAACAAACGACGAGCGGGTGGACCTCCACGAGACGGCACCTGCACTAAGGCTAAAGCAGTAACCCTAAGAGGACCTGAGGGTCTCAGCGTTGTCTGCCCAAGAAGCGCCTGTGTGCCTAGTAAGGACCACTGGCCTGCGTCCTCCCAATACTAGCCCCATGTCCGATGTACTTGCTAGATAACGCAAAACCCTCGTAGCAGCCCACCAGTGCTGTGGTCGGTGTCTGCCTGTCGCTACGAAGCGAGCCAGGATGCTGATAGGGTATGCGAGATCTGGACCAGTGCAAGTCATCAGGTATATGAGGCAACCCACAAGCTCTGAATAAGGACCACTAGGCTCTACATACTCCTCAGGGACTAGAGCCGAGAGCCCCTGATCTACAGGCAGAGGTGTGGGCTATGCGGAGGAGAACTGAAGGCCGAACCTCTGAAGGACCTGGCGCACCAAGTGTGACTGTGTGAGAGTGATGGTGCACGCTGCTCTATCCCTGGAAATCTGCAGGCCAAGGTAGCGGCGCAGCTCTCCAAGATCAGTGCAGGTGTGTCTCCTCAGCAGGCCTTCACGGAGGCCAGTGCGTGTCTGTCTGCAGTAGCGAAGACCAGGTCGTCTACGTAGACAAGGATATAGAATAGAGTCTGGCCAACACGAATGAAGAGCGAGGGGTTTGCACAGGACGGAAAGAACTGCAGGTCAGCTAGCGTACCACGCAACATGTCGTGCCACTCACGGGGCGCCTATCGCAGGCTGTAGACCGGCCGCCGGGGGAGCCTCTGGGTCCCAGAAGGGAAGGTACTGGTGAAGGCCTGTGGACGGCGCAGGTAGACCTGCTCGTGTAGGCTGCCCTAAAGAAAAGCAGTGGAGAAGTCGAGGGAGTGGAGCTCATAGTCACGCTGTGCTGCTACGTATAGCAACGCCCGAAGAGTAGTCATCTTTGGGGTCGGGGCGAAGGTCTGAAAGAAGTCCACCCCCTCGCGCTGACTGAAGCCTTTAGCCACGTAGTGCGCCTTGAACACAGGCGGCTCTCCAAGTGGGTGCTTTACCTTGAAGAGCCACCGGCCATCGACTACGTTCACCCCAGATGGGGAACAGCATCGACGTAGGTACATGTGGATCTCCAATATGCCATCTCCTGCTCCATGGCAGCTATCCATTGAGAGGCCCAGGGTCCCGAGGTCACCTCAGCGTAAGTATGAAGGGTCGGGATGTCAAAGGTGTTTGGTTCATCCTCAGGGACTAGCAGCATGGAATAGAGATGGGGAGCGGCCTCAGATAGGAAAGCAAGCTCGTGCTGCTTGTCCTCTAGGACGTCATTGCCATGGGCAGGAGCACCCCTGACGGACGGAGGGCAGGCAGGGCCAGAGACCACATCGGTGGTGTAGTCAAGGCGGCGAGAAGAGGTGAAGTCAGTGACACCAGCGACAAGAGCGTCAAGATTCGAGACAAGAACAGACGGGTCGGTAACAAGGGAGGCAAGGACCCGAGGAACAAGAGGACGAGCAGCACAAAGGTAGTCAGACAGAGGGGGAGGCGCGACAGCGAGCGACGACGGAGGAGGAGACGGGAGGAGGGAAGGACGAGATGCGT